GGAACGAATACCTTAATATTAAGGGTAGAGAGCTACATTAATCAGAGGGACATTAGACAGCGATTACATTTAAATTTTGGCAGATTAAATTCGGCTGGAAAGCATGAAGCCGGAAGGGATTTCTACCATCGAGAATAGGAGAAAAGAAACCTGTTAGCATAGAATTTATGACCACATCTAGACAACTGAAGAGTGAATCTCGACACCAGTTTAGTACTGCGCTTAAATAAAAAAAGAATCTACGTACGATAACGAGCAGCACATCCAAATAATCACCATGAAAATATTTATAGAACAGATTTAGAGGCAACCTTACGGCGGTGGGAAAAGTGACTGAAGCTGATCTGCTAGATCAAGACCTATAATATTGCAATTTCTTCTTTGGATCTTATCAGGGAGCTCAGGATAAATTGCACCGGGCTATATATGGCAGCAAGATTCAAAGTTTTTCTAGCAGGATAATGGTAACATGCTGTTTGGTCAACATTCAGTCCTTTCGTGTTAAATCTGGAGTGGTGAATCTCTTCAGGGAGCAGCCCTGACGATGGTGTAAGGTTACCGTGAGCTGATCAGAATAAATGGTTCATATCTCGTCCGTACCGATTAAATACAAAAGGAATACAAAAATTACATAATAGAAAGCTTGGCTGAAGGAGTTGTGGGAAAGTTGTCAGTGTTGTCAGCCAACTCCCTTATGGGCTCTACTTAAGGTATTTCTGCCTGGATTTACTTCCATAGACTTCTCCATGTTTGGATATGACCAAAAGGCATCGGAAGTTTAAATTCAGGGTTTCCCATCCCTTAGATGGCCTGGCTTCCAGGACTGTCAACCATACTTCTATAAATTTATAAGTTGGTCATGAGGCGCCAGTTGTTCGCCTTCACTCATTCACCGGCTTGGAGTTGGATTTAGTTCTCAGGGGCTTTTTTAAAGATACATGCCATGGAAGCATCTTATAGAGAGTGGCAGCTTGTTCCCATTATCACCCCCGGCTATGCTAACGTTTGGATGATATGTAATGTACGTATATAAATATTTATATATGTTATGTGTTTTAGAAGCATCCAAAAAATTAACGGCTTTTTAAATATATAAAAAGTTAGATAAACAAAATATATGGTCACTAGAAACCGTGACAAATTATGAAAGGCTATCAACATTAAATGCCTAGGAAAGCTGACGAGAGGCGCCTTGTTTCGTTAGGACAATGGCTAGTCCGATTTGACTATCATCTGTTCCCTCCAAAAAGCTTGACGTCATATCTGCTGTTGATCACTTTTTTGACTAACAAGACGAGAAGTTTTCTTTGAAGAATCAGATATCAGTTTACCTGGAAAGTAGAATTTAAATTAATGAATGCAAGATTTCACAGGTCTAGCATTAATCCTTCATAGTCAGCTCATGAACTTTTCAGCCCACCCAAGCATGAAATAGGCGTACATAAACACAAATAAATATAAAGGGGAGACAGGCCGTTCCCCCCCCCCCACCCCAAGGTAAGGCTTCAAGAACACCAGGAAAGCTGTAACACGAGGGGAAGTGGAAAAATCACCGCCCTCTGTGAGATTAGGTTGAGATCATAGACAAAGAACACCATTGGAAAATTCGTAAACTTAAGGAATCAGCACATATGCCAGACCACAAAAATCTCCTGAGCCGACCAAGTATAGAAATGAATACAATATGGGAACCAGTAATAAGGAGTGCTAGAGAAAAGCGATAATAACAAAAAAATTGCAATATGAGCTCTGGTAAAAACATGAAATGATAACAGCAAAAATTGCAATATGAGCACTGGTAAAAAAAGATGATGCCGAAACGTTGTAATAAATATGGCGACAAAGATGAGGACAACAATCCGAAGAATGTAAATAATGTACATAATACCTCATCTCAGAAATATACACAAATATCGAATCGTTTGTTCATTTTGGAAAAAAGATAGCAGAAAGAAACAATGAAAATATAAATCGAAAATTAAGACTGAAATACTAAGGGATTATGAAGTCATCAAACAATAAAATAATTTTGTGTCACTTTTTTTGACAGTACTAACACTTATACTATCAATTGATAAAAATGAACGAGGATAGAAAATGCAAAGTTGATAAATATAATTTAGGTAAGAAAAAACAGAAAGTATATATAAGACAAATGGTCTCTAGGTTAGTTGTAAAAAAAAAAAAAAACAACAAGTAAATACTAATACAGAAAAACACGGCAACTATGGAAAATATTGTGAAATAATAATAAGCAATACATATATCACTTCAAAGAAATATAATAATCATAATATAATAAATGAAAAAAAAACATGCTTTACTATGAAGAAAATATTTGTAAGGAATATTAATAAATATCTTCACATAAATAATCACTTGCAGGACATGCATTTTTATACCAACAACTATCATAAACACTATACTTAAAAAATGTAAGATCCAGATACCTGAGGATGATGTGATCTAGATTTTTCACTCTAAACCACAACAAACATTTGATACATTCAAAAATCAGATATAATAACAATATCCGTTTATCTCGCATGATAAAGGTATCAACATGTTTGGTCAAAATTCAATCCTTTGGTGGTGAGACTGGAGTAATCTCTCCTGGGTGATGGTATATGGAGGCCTTGCCCGCCTTCTTGGCCCTACCAACAAGATCCTATATAGGGCATTACATTTGGGAGTGGCTTGGCTGCAGGTTTTGCCAGAAAAATTTCTGTCTGGATTTACTTCTATAGCCCTTTTCATCTTTGGATATGACCACAATGCATCAGAGGTTTTCCTTACCCTAGATGGACTGCCTTCCTGGGCTGCTTACCCGCATCTACCCGAAACAACTGGTTATGAGGTGCCAGTGTACTATCTTCGCCCATTCTCTGGATTTAGTTGCTAGAGGCTAATTGAAACGCATGCTACGGATGCATTTTATAGACAGTGGGAGCTTGTCCCCTCTATCGCCCCCAGCTATGATAACCTTTGGAACATATATAATGTACGGATATAAACATTATTATATACATTATTTACATTATTCAGACTATTGTCCTCATCTTTGTTGCCATATTTATTACAACTTTATTTCGCTCACTGGGGTAGACTGTTCTAGTAAAAGTGTTCAGTTCGACATTCCAAACACCTGAAGAAGGTTGGAGCGCACAACAGCCGAAACGTTGTAATAAATATGGCGACAAAGATGAGGACAATAGTCTGAATAATGTAAATAGTGTACATAATACCTCATCTCAGAAATATAGACAGATACTGAAAGGCCGAAACGTTGTAATAAATATGGCGACAAAGATGAGGACAATGAGTCTGAATAATGTAAATAGTGTACATAATATGTCATCTCAGAAATATAGACAGATGCTGAAAGGCCGAAACGTTGTAAAAAATATGGCAACAAACATGAGGACAATAGTCCGAATAATGTAAATAGTGTACATAATACCTCATCTCAGAAATATAGACAGATACTGAAAAGGCCAAAACGTTGTAATAAATATGGCGACAAAGATGAGGAAATAGTCTGAATAATATAAATATTGTACATAATACCTAATCTCAGGAAATATAGACAGATACTGAAAGTTAAAAAACGTTGTAATAAATATGGCAAAAAGATAGGACAATAGTCTGAATAATGTAAATAATGTACATAATAACTCATATCAGAAATATAGACAAACATTATTATATATTTTACATGTTTTAGAAGCTCAAAAAAAATTAACAGTTTTTAAATATATAAGACATTAAGTAAACAAAAACACAAAAAAGTAAGACATTATGAAATAATACATAAATAAATAAAGACAAATATTGAAAAGTTTGTTAATCTTAGAAAAAGATAGCAAAAAGAAAAAATTAAAATATAAATCTGGATTTAAGTCTAAAATACTCAGAGCTTATGATGTTATTATTTAAACGTACAATAAAATAATCTATACTACCTTTTTGACAGAACTAACAATTAAACTATCAAGTGATAAAAAATGAACGAGAGAAGAAAATGCGAAGTTGATAAATATAATTTAGATAAGAGAAAAGAAAGTAAAAATAAGACAAACAATTTCCAGGTTAGTTGCACAAAAACAAATAAATACGAATACAGAAAAAAATTGGAAGAATTAATACTGAACAATATATACACCCACGTGAAAAGTAATTAAAAACACAGCATTTACCATACGGTCAGTTTTAGACCCACTGGAGTGACATAGTGTAATCGATTTCTATTTTTTCCTCGGATTAGGTCATTTGCAGTGGTTGTGCAGTAATGTGAATCTATTTTCGGGTTGTACGATGAAATTTGTTTGGCCTTGAATAATATTGAGTCATCCGTGATCTCATCAGACTTTTATCACACCAAGACACTATTGTCTCAACTGTCGATTAGTTGTCCAACGGCCATTGTCTGCGATGGACATTACTCCAAGGAATCGTACGAAAATTGTAACACTGCACGAATACGCTGGCAAGCCTTGTCAGTGAGCACATCAAAGTACTATCGACTGGCCTGAAAACTCTCCCGATTTAAATCCAAACGAGAATCTGTGGTCAATCTGCAAGGAACGACTTTGTGGACTGGACATACGAAGTACTAACATGTACACTAGGGTCATGTTTCATTGGAAAAATACGAAAAAAATTAATTAATAACGGAATTATTCGTTTTGTTTCAACTAATTTCCAAAAGAGTGTAAATAATTTCAATTAAAATATTTTTCGCCATTACTGACATTGTATTAGGTGGATAACATTTTCCAGTGCCGGGATCCTTTTGGAGGAATTGTCCAATCGCTTTAGCAATAAAACTGAAAATTCCCGGGAATTTCACCACGGCACTTCTGAACGGTTCTTTAAGTGTATAGAAAAAGTTCTGAGATAGAATTTGGCAGAGATGACATCTGGAAGATCTAAGCACTTTGTTGGAAAGTCAAAATTCTGTGACAGATGGCACACAAAGAATGGATGGTGGATTTTATTTT